AATTTCAGCAGATGCTCGAGCAGCTGAAAAAGCAACAAGAAGCAGTTCAGGTATAATTTGATTTTAAGTATTTGTCAATTGATTTTTTTTTCCCATTTCTTATAGTGATAGTGTATTCACATGAGTTTTCTGTAGATAGGTGACATCAATAAATTTAGAAAGATTTTAGAACTCTAGTTATAGGTATTCTCTCTAATTAATGTGTGGGCCCCTTTGCCTTCAGGAACAGATAGGACAGATGTTTTCCTTGTTGGAAATCAGGACACTCTGCTATGAATAATTTGGACATGTGGTCCAGAAAGAAATCAAAAGAACGTGAATGTTATTTATTATTGATTGTCTTTATCCCAGGGGCATCCACTGTGTGTAAATTCCGATCTACTCACACAAAACAATATACAGTGCCTGCCCTGGTGTCCTTACAATCAAAAAAGAGAAACAATACGAAAAGGGTTGGGGGTGGGGGGGGGGGGGAATGTGCAAGCATTTAGACAGAACGCATCTGCCATTTTGTTTCTGCCATTCTGTTTGATATCACAAACAGTAAGGGTACAGAAAAGGGGGAAATAATTTGAGGAGAGGACAGCCAGCTAAAAAAATCTTAAGAGCTTCCTTCAAAAGCTTCTTCTGCCAGGGGCTGCACTAGAATATTCTCTAGAAGTTAAATTGGCAGTGGTAAAGTTTAGCACATTAGCCAATAGAAATATTTATGGTAATACAGCAGGCAGCAGCGGCAGCAGCAGCAGCATCAGCAGAGTCGAGAGAACCTAGTGCAGAAGGCGGACTAGGAGGACTCTCAGAAAGTTCTTCTGAAGCATCAAAGCTGAGTTCAAAGAGCGCTAAAGAGAGGAGGAATAGAAGAAAGAAAAGGAAGCAGAAAGAGCAATCTGGAGGAGAGGAGAAAGATGAGGATGAATTTCACAAATCTGAATCAGAAGACAGCATCAGAAGGAAAGGTTTCAGATTCTCTATTGAAGGGAACAGACTGACATATGAAAAGAAATATTCTTCTCCCCACCAGGTATTGTATAATTCTGTTATCAAGGAAAATATATATTTGAAGCATCATGATCTATCACAAAACTGCTGCAATATCACAGGCACACCAATGAGATTGTACTGTTTGAAGAATTAAGGCACTGAGCTTTTATTTAAACTTGATTATCTTAATTACAGCTTCCAGTGCTTCAAGAGAAAATTTCCTAACTGTCACGGACATCCCCTTGAAAATATCCAGATAGAATTCATGGCGAAAAACTTTATTAAAGATATTTTAAATCAAATTGTAATATTTGATGGAATCATGATATAAGTCCATAGGTTGCTTTAAAATAGTATAAAATTATATTGGCTGTTCAATTCTATAAATTTCTTAGAATAATTTCTGTAGAATCCTGTTAGCTTAATTCCTATTCAATTTTATAGAAGATTTCCATGCAGATCCCCATGGATTTTGTTTTTTCTTTGCTGATCCAGGTTTTGTGTAATGGGTAAAATGCTATTTTCTTCTGGCTGTCTGTTTTAGTCTTACCTTATAACAAATTATTATCTTGCAGTTGTTCCATACTAAGAATTAGTATTGATTTCAACAAAATGCTGAGTTGTTCAGCACAAGCAATTGTTTTAATAATATTTAATATTCTGATAAAATTCTTCTAGATTTATTTTAAAAATCCAGTGTAATGAATACGTATGAAAATCTAACTGCTGTTGATGGAAGCACCTGTTCAGGTTTTCCACTAATAATTCTGTTCTATTATTTTCTTATAGTCTTTATTGAGCATTCGTGGCTCCCTTTTTTCTCCAAGGCGTAATAGTAGAACAAGTCTTTTCAGCTTCAGAGGCCGAGCAAAGGATATAGGATCAGAAAATGACTTTGCTGACGATGAACACAGCACTTTTGAAGACAATGACAGCAGAAGAGATTCTCTTTTTGTGCCACGTAGACCTGGTGAACGACGCAACAGTAACATAAGTCAGGCCAGTAGGTCATCCAGGATGCTGGCAGTGTTTCCAATGAATGGGAAGATGCACAGTACAGTCGATTGCAATGGGGTGGTTTCGCTGGTTGGTGGACCATCTGTTCCTACATCGCCTGTTGGACAACTTCTGCCAGAGGTGATAATAGATAAACCAGCTACTGATGACAATGTAAGGAAGTTTTAAATAGTTCAGGCATGGTGGCCTTTTCTTACTGCACCAGCCAGTGTTTTCTACAGAATGGAATCCCTCGGGAATGATCCCTGGTTGGTCAAGCTGTGAATGCTCCTGCATCTTGTAATATCTTTAATATACTAAAAAAATAAGCATAACATTGAAGAATCTACTCACAAATATTCTTAGAACTAACAAGTAAAAGCATCAAATTAATGTACAAAATATACTTGTCTATTATATACCCATGAAAATATGCTGGAACTCACTTGAGGTATTTGATTATGTCAGATAAGATATCTTACAATTAAAAAGGGTATATAATAATGGTACCATATAAATTCAGTGAACATGACACCTCATTGAATGTAGAGAATGTTTTTAGCTTTGTGCCATATCAGTCTTATTGCCATGTTATAACAGTGTAAATACAGCACTATCACACATTTCTAATTTTATATTTCTCCATTTTATGATGCATTCCTATAGTTAGAAAATAAAATAAACATTTAATTGAAAGATCACATTTATGCACACACATTCAAACTACAAATGCCTGTGTGCACATATGTGTTGTCATTGTATTTCTATATGGAACTAGAAAAATATTATTAACAAAATATTTGTTTAGCTTATTTTAAGATTGCCCACTTACAGTATCTGGAAATATACTGGCATGGGAAAGCATGACAAAAGTCAGACTTTTTTTATTTGTTGCTGTTTAAGACTGGATAAAGAGCTTATAATTTTACAAAAAAACAAGACATTAAGTCTAATGTATTAGCAGAAGAACACATGAGCAAGTTGCAAATGTTTTCTACAATAATATGGTATAAAATTATGATTTTGTTTCACTCATTTGTCATTCAGTTGCTGATCCACATGGTACATATAGATGTTTGGGGAGGTTAGACTGAGTTTAAAATGGCCACCTGATCTAACTTAGTTTGCCCAGGTGCAGACCTTATACTTAAATCCCTAGTTAGATGGATCCAAGTGCAAACTGTACAGAAATTCAGGACAGTTATATAGGTCTAAAAGTGGTTGCCCCAATCTCAGTTAACCCTATTTCTGAGGTAGTCTAAATTAGATTGGGTTGGCCATTTTTAAACCAATCTGTCCTGAACCTCTGTACAGTTTTCTGGTTACAGCCCTAGGAATGCACTTTC